ATGTCGCAGAGCACCTGACGATGCTCCCCGAACTGCTCGATGGTGTACTGAAACACCTCCCGGTGAATCTGCAATACGGGTGACCGATAGGGCACTAGATAGGCACGATCAGCTCGATGGTATCAGGGACGGATGTGCAAGATTGCATGGTAGTAGAGTGGATTGAAAAGATTTTGTTAAAACATTCGAAGGGATTGTTGATGTATTCCAAGCCAATGCCAACTAGCTCGTATTGATAAGACGTCTTAAAAGTAAGAGCTCAATGGATAAGACAATGACAATTGCCAGCTAGGTTTCTGACATCTGCATCCCAGTTGGGAATATGAACTGACCTGTAGGTGGCCTTGGACTGACCTGGAATTTCTCCTCGCTGGTAGCATTGGCGCATCGTTCTGTTTCTCTCGCCACGTAAGCCTCGAACTGTTCGCTGAACACCCGCGGTGGTCTCTTCAGCAGTCTCTGTTTAGCCAGTCGGACAACGAGGATGTGAGGCAAGTTAGGGGAAGTTGGGGCAATGCCGGAGTTGGGGCAAAGCCGAAATTCGAGATATTTCGAAAACCGTAAGACATGGATGCCACCTGTCAGTGATGCTCTGAAGCTTAAGTGACTACAATTATCGCATGTTTGTTACGAGTCGTCATTCGGAATACTTCGACTGGGGCGTTCCACGACAAATCGACAAGTGCCCTGCACCCTCATATTTTATTTTTTGCTTAAAGTTGGTCTAATGGGTTGTGATGGGCGGGGAAGCCAGCTGTGGCAAGGATTTTTTTCTTCGAACAACGGTTTCCGAGATATAGCCTCGGGCAATTCTTGGAGTTCGCGCTGCAGCCCTATGTTTGGCGGCCTATAACTCAGAAACTATTGGTTTTTTACGATAAAAACTTTATATGGTTCAACTTACAATCAACCAACAAACATTTTGGCTATCTCGGATTTTCAATTTTTGAAAATTTTGATCACGTGACCTTTTGTCCTATTTTTCGAAGAGTGACCTTGATATTTTCCCCACTGAAAGTTACAATTTTGTCTGATGACGATTAAAGTCTTATCAGTTTTCATTCATATGCGATAATAAAAAAAGTGGTTATCGCCCTGCGTTGACCTCAGTTCAGGTCATTTTTATGACCTGTCCATTATTACGAGCGGGAGTGACAGCGAGATCTCGAGAATAAAGCAAGATAGCGACAAGCGGTAAATGGCAAAGGGTACACACGGATAAGGTCTATAATTTTTACTGATGTCATTTTCAGGTCAGGTCAAAGATGACGTCACAGGAGCTAAAAGGAAGTCAAAATAGCGGCACTATACATATATATGAAGTTTTTCTCGAATAACTTTCAAGGTATCCCAGCTAGGAACAAACTAATAGCACCATCGTGATCCTCTCGTCGATCCGCATCGAAACATATGTATGTTGACCTCGAAAGAGCGAAAGGTCAAAAGTTGACCTTAGGTCATGTGATCTAAGGTCAACTTTTGACCTTTCGACCTTTCGAGGTCAACATACATATGTTTCGATGCGGATCGACGAGAGGATCTTGATGGTGCTATTAGTTTGTTCCTAGCTGGGATACCTTGAAAGTTGTTCGAGAAAAACTTCATATATATGTATAGTGCCGCTATTTTGACTTCCTTTTAGCTTCTGTGACGTCATCTTTGACCTGACCTGAAAATGACCTCATTAAAAATTATAGACCTTATCCGTGTGTACCCTTTACCGTTTACCGCTTGTCGCTATCTTGCTTTATTCTCGAGATCTCACTATCGCTCCCGCTCGTAATAATGGACAGGTCATAAATATGACCTGACCTGAGGTCAACGCAGGGCGATAACCACTTTTTTAGTATCGCATATGAATGACAATCGATAAGGCTTTAATCGTCATCAGACAAAATTGCAACTTTCAGTGGGGAAAATATCAAGGTCACTCTTCGAAAAATAGGACAAAAGGTCACGTGATCAAAATTTTCAAAAATTGAAAATCCGAGATAGCCAAAATGTTTGTTGGTTGATTCTGAGTTGAACCATATAAAGTTTTTATCGTAAAAAACCAATAGTTTCTGAGTTATAGGCCCCCAAACAAGGGGCTGCAGCGCGAACTCCAGGAATTGCCCGCGGCTATATCTCGGAAACCGTTGTTTGAAGAAAAAAATCCTTGCCACAGCTGGCTTCCCCGCCCATCACAACCCCTTACACCAGTTTTCAACGAAGAAAAAAATATGAGGGTGCAAATTTAATTTTTTATTTGTCGATTTGTCGTGGAACTGTGAGGGCGCCAAGAGCGTTTTCAAGGTACATTTCCCTTGTACTACATGCGCCTTTGAAGCTGCATTTCTTACTCATTATGCTACCGTTTGTCTGGCCAATTCGGTCAAGTAATCTTTAGCATGTCTTTGCATAAGTGTGCTGCCTATTTGAAATTTATACAGCACGTTGAAAAGTTATGGGCCTGCAAATGAAAGTATGGCTGGCTGGGGTAATGCCGAAAACGTGCGATTACGCACGTGTTAAAAGCACGCTACGTGGACTTTACTGCTGTAGAATAGCAACGCGTATTTTTAGTCACACAAATTACACTTTCAACCGACACAACGGCCTGTTACCTATAAGGAATGATTTACCTGACATTTTCTTATTATATCACACAATTATAACTTCCAGTGTGCACCGCGTCCTCAAGCTCTTAAAACGCGTGTCAGCTTTGATGAATTCTGGATAAAGTTTGAGATAAAATGGCAAAACATCAATGTCGGCATTGCCCGTAGATCATTTCTCCCATTTTCGGCTTTCCCCGCAGTCCGGGGCAACGCCGAAAAAGTCACTTCTTTGATATTTTTAGTTTGTGCGCTTAACGGTATGCGAATTCATCAAATGCGCCTGGTATGTTTGAAAGGCAAAAGACTGGCCTCTCGAATGACTTCAATAAGAATAGCTTATGTTGTCTACCTTGCGTGCTACGGGCGTCAGAAAAAAAGTCTTCGGCGTTCCCCCAACTTCCCCTATCGCCGATGAGCATTTCGCTATGTTTTGGAGTTAAATTTATTGCATTTATACACTTACACCTACATGCATAAGCGTACATATTTGGAGTAGCTGTTGATAAAACCGCATCCCAGATTCGGTAAGGACTAAACGCTCCTTTCGCGACACGCATTCCAACGCGTAAGCATAAGGCTTGCTATAAACTACATAAAATGAACTTTCTTACCATTTCCTTTGGAGTCATTTTGACAAGAGATCCGGTAAAGTCTTCCCGTTTGCATAGTTGCTTTTCATTACCTGTCTTCGGCGGCGACTTTTGCCCTTCAGCCATGTTGTTTTTCGAACTGTATTTGAGTTATGAAACTTGCCTTAAATCGTTTAATTTAGCTTAAAAACATAATATTGTGATCCGCTTTTGAGAAAATCGTCCACATTGCATGAACATTGCACCTTCCTCAATCTATCGAGACCGCTCGGCTCATCTTAAACGTGTGCATGGTCTTTCTGCATTGCAGCGGTTGCAGCCGTTGCAGCTTCTGTCGCTTCTGTCTGGCTTCTGTTATGTTCAAGGTTATGTCTCTGGTCGAGTTTGGGTGTGGTTTGGGCGGCCCCCGCCGAAGTTAGTTGGTAGCACTGCTGCTCCACGGCGTACATTTCCTACCAGCCCATAGGGTTTACATGTTAAATGGCCTGTTTTCAGCGAGCGATATCTCGGTCAACCTTTGAAGGAATCAATGGTTCTTAGTCTCAAATGATAGATCGATGAATTTTCTTTCGACAATTCCTCTACCATTTTTCACGAAACCCAGCCGATCTTCTACGGCGTACAGGGTAAAGATTTCTCTGCACGCCAGCACCCGCGATCCGCCTCTCCGATCGTCGGCGCGCGGTCCTCGGTAGCGCAGTCGGTAGCGTATCGGGCTACGGATCCGAGGGTCGTGAGTTCGAATCCTGGGAGCGCCGCGTGATTTCGGCTAGAATCGAATGATGTAGATTCTTGAATGCTTGCATTATCAATTATGAATAGCTAATAGAATGTATCTGCCCACTAATCGGCCCCTAAAACCTGTTATTTTAGAAATTTAAGAAATGAATGTCACGTGCGCGCCACAACTGCCGACCATAAGCGTTACCATATTCTAGTTTGAACTAACTTTTTGCTAGTCCCGACCACATATAGTAGGTTTTCTAGTAGATATACTAGAAATGCCTACCAAAGTTCGTCCTACCCGTCACTCAATATACCCTGGGTTTGGGTCGAGTGGTCGAGTGCGTCGAGTGTAGCTCTTGATATTGGGCATGTTCACGTGCATTTGGTGGATGAAGCTTCCAGATGGACGTTACTTTCGCATTGTTTGAATTGTGAAGAGATACCTATGCGAAATGGCTTTATAGGTTTATAGCTGGAGGACCTACAATAGCCATCAAGAGACACGCATTCCTTTACCGACATATTTCATCCTAAATTCTTCCAACTATAATCGAAATTCCATAGGGACTACCCTCATATTGCATATTTCATTTCTTGATATATAATTCGAGAAGGCAGATTTTGATTTTTTTTTTACATTTTAGCTCGTTTAGGACTTAAAAGTCAAAGTCGTTGCTAATCACAACCCGAGCCTTTCTTATTTTATTAAATTTTTGAATTATTTTGTTACACGAAACGCCTATTTTACGATGGTCAGACAGGAGTTATGCTTCTTCTTTCTGAGATGCAAAATAGGCATGCACTATGCAGTAGGTATGCGGTATGCATGTCCTTGGCGTATTTATATCTGCAACATTGTGTTTCAGCTAAAATTTTACAACACAGGACTCTTGAATGGCGCATGACTTTCAAGCCGTTTATAGTGGCTGTTAAAACAGCCCGGTTACTCTATTTCCCCTCTGGTATTCCGGTATCGTCGTATTGAAGTCTAAGCTGCAAGTGGAATGTGATCCTGTGACTTGAACACATAGAATTGCCCTCCCATTCAAGCCCTTATCATCATTGCCATCAAAACCAGGTCATATTTACAGATATATCACAAAGCCACACCATCACAAGCGGATTACAAATGACAGACATTTACAGAGTCAGTTGTTCACTCCACTCTCACAGGAATCCTCTTCCTGGAATGCATGGCTTACAGAGGTGCTAAGTTACATACGGCCTGACTTTTTAGAGTAACGGATGCTCGGACTAACATCGAAATCTGCACAGCAGTCACCTCAAAACTTTCGCCTTGGAAATAAAAAAGAGGACACGCACATACGCATCACGCAACATCTTATGCATACATCGATGTGAACTGTGAAGTCATTTCATTCCTCGTTACTCTGCATCCAGGGGATGTTAGACGTATCAAAATTTTCCTCTATCTTTCTTCTATTAATCGTATGCACCGGCCCTGATTAAAAGATGTCCCTTACTCCCACTGCATCCATGCAAGCAAAGAAAAAAATTGATCCATATTTTCCTTCATATACACGTTTTTGTCATGCAGATGTAACATACAAGTAACAATGAAAATCCCGACTGAGCACCCATTCGCCAGACGTCTATTCATCGCCCGTCCGTCAATCTTAGACATCTCGTTGGGCCCATTTTCACTGTGTCACGCCATTTACAAAGCGCAAAGCGTATTGACGGTCACGGGACAGTCGAAGCTCGAATAAGCATATAAATTTGGGTAAATGTAACATCTATACAACATAATCTTACGCAACACAGCTAACTCATTGCATGGACATTTTCACAGAGTGGCTATTATGTCCTGACATGACGAACAAAGCACAGGCATCGCTACAAAATAACACTCCTCGATATCCTGTTCCGTACATCTCAAAACGCATCAGATAAAAATGCAATGTTTTTGCAATGTAATGTTCTTTTCTTCCCCGGTGCTACAATGTTTTGTTGTTTATTTCTATGTAGGATGCTATGTTGACTGATATTTATTTTCAGTCATTCTTTTACGTTCGGTTTTTATCTTTTTACCCACCCACCATTCCCTTCACGTTCTGTCCACCCACACGGTGGACGGTAAACACGTACAATGCGTGTAACGGCTGTGTCAGCAGTGACCAATATGCTGACTGGTCCGATAGTAGGGCCAGCGGGCCAGCTCAGCACTCGATAAACGCTCCCCTCCCCCTCCCCTCCCCCTTCCCTCGGGGGTGGTAGGAACTCGGCGGGAGACAGCCGCGTCCCGGCAGATCAGCTGACGGCTGTCCGAACACTCACTGCACGCACTGTCACAGCTGCGATAGCTGCTGCTCTGTCAGCACTCTTAGCTGCGACAGCTGCTTTCTCCAGCACTCACAGCTGCGGCAGCCGCTCCCTCCAGCACTCACAGCTGCGGCAGTTGCTCTCCCCAGCACTCACAGCTACGGCAGCTGCTCTCTTCAGCACTCACAGCTGCGACAGTTGCACTCTCTAGCACTCACAGCTGCGGTATAACTCTCTCCAGCACAGTTCAGAACTGAGCTGCGGTAGCTTCTCTCCAGTCCAGCTCGCAACTCATCCGCAGCTGCTCTGTCCGCCTGAATTCGCAGCTCATTCGCAGCTACCATGTCCATCGTAGCTCGCAGCTCATTCGAAACTGCTCTGCCCGCCTTGACCCACAGCTCAGCGGCTTTGCCCACCGTAACTCGCAACCCAGCTGCACCGGTAACTGTCCCAGCTGCACCAACAATTGTCTCAGCTCAGAGCCTCTGCAGCTCGTCTCCTCAGCGCAGCTCCAACTGAGAGAGATGCTCGTGCATTCTGCGCAACTCCTGCAGCTCCTTACAGCTATGGCCGGGCATGGAGCTTGACCGCTTTCTCCTGAAAAGCAGGCGAGGGCAAAGCCGTAATTAATGACGTGCTCGGTGTAGATATTACCGCTGGAATAGCTTTTAACCCGCGCCCCGCTGGGGGGGCAGAATCTGCCCCCCCTCCCGTTTTTCGCCAATAACTTCTAAACGCGTTACGCCAGCGACGTCAAACTTTCAGTACCTTATCATACATCAATTTGACACGTTCCCTGAAAATTTGAGCGAAATCCGTCGGAAAATTTTTGAGAAATTGACGTTTTAGTGACGTCATGTTCGCCATTTTCGCCTAAAAAACGGCAAAATGTCAAACGCCGCTAACTTCTTCATTTTTAAGGGAATTAAGACGTAACAAAAAAGGTTTTACGTGATTCTACTTTGTCTATCAAATGGCTATCTCGGTTTTTTGAAAATTTTGGATTTTGGCCAAAAATTTTTCAAAAAAACTGACTTTTTTGGGAAAATATTTATAAAATCTAAAATGTTGAGTTTATCAAAAAAACCGGAATATATGTCAAAGAAGTGGTCTATGTGCACCTACATACCAATTTTTAGAAGAATCGGTTCAAAAATGTGGGAGTTATTCAAAATTTTATGACGTCACGACACACAAAAATTTTGAAAAATGATTTTTTTTGGAAGTTGTAGACCTCGTACGGAAATAAAAATAGCACCATTCGATTCGCCGTAAAAAACTGCATCGGATAGACACCTTTTTAGGCCTTAACAACCAACTTCAAAATTTGACCTCACTTGACCTGACCTTGACCTGACCTCGACCTGAAATTCATCCAGAGGTGGTCCATATCACTTATTGAGTGTGCCTATTGAATTCCATGAGTAAAATGACCCATAAAACATGTGTCGCACATGCCCTTTTCTATATTTTGTTTTTGGTGACCTGACCTGACCTGACCTGACCTTGACCTTGACCTTTGAATGACATTGTGTGCAACGAATATTGTCTTGGTAGTCTAAGAACACGTTTTGGGCAATCAGTCTCAGTCCATTCTTCGGCAACTACGGTGCAAGGCCAATACTGTAGAAACTTGCATTTTGTACCCTTGACCTGACCTTGACCTGACCTCTGACCTACTTAAATAAAAAAATTTGGGCTCTTAAGATCCGCCTTGTTGAGAGCTTTCGATTGCCGTTTTCCCCGTCTTTCTACGACCATCGGTTCGGAAGTTAGACAGGGGGGGGCAGAATCTGCCCCCCCCCCCCCAGCAGGGCGCGTATGGCTGAATAGCCCAGCGGGGCGCGGGTTAAGCTGCTTTACCAAATTTACTGGGAGCATTATTCCGCACTTGAGTGCATTTGCATGTCACATGGACAGCCCTAATACTTCACTCCTATCTATTCATTCTTAAGTACTGTCTTTTCATAGAAAGATTAAATGGTCAGCCATCGACCATATGATGGAAGATATGCTCTCTTTCGAGGGCTTTGGGACTCGCTACTCACCTGCGCTGGGGACTGCGGGCGACCGAGTGTTCCGATGCACCAAATTGGCCCGTCTCAGGTGTGCGAACCGGCGTGAGCACTTTGATCTCAGTCAGGCTCTGAAATGGGATGTCGTGCAGTCATAAGTTGGGTAGGTATACTCGTAATGTATTTCTTCTCACTTATTCATCCGTGAGTTATTGTTTTAATCAAACAACATTCTGAATATTATCACCGGAAATGCATCTGCTGGCTAAGCGCTAGTCAGTGACGCTGGACTTGAAATACTATCTTTGATGCTGTCAACTCAGAAGAGTGCCGAGAATGATTAATACGCTCCACTGGACCTCCATTCATTGTGCTTCTAATAGTTTCCCGGGGGTGCTAGCGAGCACTCTGCACTTGAGTACATTTATATGAATAAAGCCGCGGTCACCAGAGCTGCGATAATTCGGAAATATGACCCCTAACTTTGGTCCCTAGGTTCCCTCCAAGTTTCCATCTAATTGGCTCGTAAGGTTCCCGTTAGCATATATATGATGTCGTGCTGTCGCCTCTGCGGCGGTAGTTTGCCCTGACGTAGCTCTGGTTGATCAAAGTCTCCCAGTCGACCTTACTGATGAAACCCTACCGCCTACCGCGCCGCAGACGGCGGGGGTGAATGATCTAAACTCCTCTCCCAGAGCGGGGCGGGAGGGCCGACCGCGACACCGTTACCGTGTGGGAAGACTCACCGGTGGTCGGCGGGCCAGTTCCCGCAGATGAACGTCTCGGAAAAACTCCAGGTGCGGCAGCACGTCGAGGCCCGGCTCGTGGCCGCCGGGGTTGTCGAAAATGAACTCCAGCACAGGTCCCAGCTGGGGAAGGCAGCGGGGTTCCGTTAATTAAGTGCATCGTATGCGTTTTGGCAACCCATACCGACATCAAACGCATGTGATTTACAATTATTTGCATGCTGTATACATACATCAAATACATTGATTGCAATGAACCTACCGATCCAGTTCTATCACAACTCTTCATTCTCAACAGTCTTCGCATCCAAATTATGGATTCGTCCGAGGTGGTCATGGCCGCAGCTGCATCTAGGCCTCCTCACTCTCACCCTATCCACCACCCTTTGGTCGGCAGTCTCGGTCTGACCAGCTCTGACAGAGTTACAGCGAACCGGGAGACGATCCGACATCGATAAGGCGGTCTGGGGAACGTGTCGACGGGAATTGGAACAGGGAACCGCCTTGCAATGTTGACGGGCTCCCAACAGTGTTTCTGATTGTGCGAGACGATCCCGCTTTGATGTTAGCGCAACAGAAGCTAGTTGTTGACTGGTGCTAGAAAAGGGAGATGCTGGACTGGAAAATTGGAAGAGATTAATCATTTCCAGGAAAGCTTAAGTAAAAAAGCGCTTGGAAAGCTCTCCGAACAGCCAACAGCCACCAGTGGATTCAACCTGAGGGAAAAGAATAGCTTTTGTATTTGAGCAGTGAACGCAGAAAATGATTGTTTCTTTTCCAGCGCTGAGGTAAGCGCAAGCTTGAGTTTCATCGATCGGTAAGAAACTTTGTTTACATAAGGAGCTGTCATTCGCAGCAATTAACATCACAAGAAACGGTGCTAATATTTCGATATTTCTCACAACTTATCCACAAAATTTTTGTCTTCGAAGTTCGAATCGGATGGCGCGCGATATCCGATCCACCACTGGGCAACAGTCAAACGCAGCTGCGGCTCCGCTCCAAGTAATGCGGTACAGTCTACCTGTTCAGGTAAGACTACTTCTGCCATCTAGTGACAGAGGTTGAAGCTCGCGCGGCAACGCTGGCCTGTCGTTTCACGGCGGCAAGTTCTCTCACCTGTGAACGTGTCTCGTCGTCGAGCTGTGCCAGGTCGGCGGGGGTGGGCCCGCGCGGCCCCGGCAATCGCCCGGCCACCATCTCATACATGAGCGATCCGATGCAGAGAACGTCTGAGGCCGGCAAGTTCATACAGTCGGACGGGCTGTACTCCAGCAGCGACGCCTCCAGGTCGGACAACCTGTTTGGGAATGGATAAATCGGTCTGTCGTATTGGGAGATCATTGTGAATCGCAATGCATAGTCGCAGCTTGCAATGCATAGGTACAGTGCATTTTTATTGGTGGCTTTGTTTTGATTTGATCTTATGTTCCTGCAAGCCATTAAAGTTTTGTTTCTGACTATCTTACATTAATATTGTGCGCTGTACGCGGTTTCAAATCGAGTGCGTTGTCGCTCGTCCGTCTGATCAATGAACTATTTCTTTGAAAGGTTTTGGACTATTGGAGCGTGAGATGAATGTTCAAAGAAGATGAGCTCGGGAAAATGGAGCGTGGGGGCCAAAGAGGTGTTCCCGATCAAACTCAGCGTTGATTAATTAGCCAATATATAATAAGTGATGAGAAGCAATTCATCGCCAGTGGAGAAATGCCCTCAACTTAGAACAAAAAGCATCCCGCCGTATAATTTTAGCAGCATGGAGAAAATAATATGGTTGATCGCTAGAATTCAATTTCTTGAAGCCAATACACACGCAATTTCATACCTACAGATGATTGCTATCTAAATGAAGGCCAACTTCATCGTTAAGTTGATGTTTGGTGTCTTTTGATGAATCATGTGGAAGATAAGAATGGTGTTTGCTATTTAAATAGTGAAAATTTATGTCACATGTCATCCCATTGGGCTCACTAAGTCACTATCCGTCAATGCCTTGTACGGTAAATCCACTAACTATATGAGATACCTTAGGTTTGGCGGGTCCGCTAGGCGCTATGACTTACCTGGCCACGCCGTTCTGCACGATGACGTTGCCGGCGTGCAGGTGGCCGAAGGAGAGTGCGATGCCGCTCCGTCTGAGGTGCAGGATGGCCTCGACGAGCTGCAGAGCCAGCCGGCGCACCTGTGAGACGGGCAGACGGAGCCGCTCCGCCGGCGGCCGGTCGTACTTTTCGCTCCAGTCGCGATCCCAGGCGCACTGAAACACACGAGAAACCGTACTTATCACTCCAGTCCCGGTCCCAGGCGCACTGAAACATACCTACAGGAAATCGTACTTTCCAGTCAAGTCCCGGTCCCAGGCGCACTGAAACAGGTGGTAAATCGTTACTTTTCAGTCCAGTCCCGGTTCTCTCATTCCATTCCCAGTCTCAGGCGCGCTGAAACGTTAGACAGCTTTCCGCACTGGTCAATGCAGTCATGGTCCGACTACTGACTGCTGTCACGGGCGGGACGCACCTTATACAGGCTGCCGGAGTGGTCGCCGTTGCCCACCTTGTACAGCATGCCCCGCAGACTGCCGTTCCTCACCTTATACAGAATGTCCCTGAGGCTGCCGGAGTGGCTGCAGGGCGTGATGACCACCACGGCCGGGTAGCCCTGCGGCAGGTCCAGCAGGTCCACGTCCAGCACCGGCAGCAGGTACGGGTGCTTGGCGCGCGTCAGACGGTCCCGCAGCGTCTGGGAATTACCACATACACAGTAGTCATGTAATACAATCAGACAAGTCTGATCACACCTTCATCATGTGCATGTTTCACAAACACGTAACGTTTACATTGCACAATGAACAGATTTCTTAATTATGTGCTGCGCAACAAAACACTTTCTGAGCCGATGTCTCACCTTGGCTCGGTCACTCGGTGTCTCACCTTGGCTTGATCGATCTCCCGAAGTCTTAACTAGGATCAGTGGCTCTGCCAGGGTCTTTCCTAGGCTCATGCCCTCCTGGGGTCTCGCCTCGTCTTGGTCGCTCTACCAGGATGAGATGTCTCGCCTTGGCTCGTCCTATCACTGCGGTATTCTCACCTTGACTCGATCGCTCTGCGGGGGTCTCACTTTGACTCGATCGCTCTGCCGGGGTCTCACCTTGGGTCGATCGCTCTGCCGGGATCTTACCTTGACTCGTCCTATTACTGCCGGAGTCTCACCTTGGCTCGTCCGCACTGCCAGTCGCCAGAGTCTCACCCTGACTCAGTCGTTCTGCCGGGGTCTCACCCTGACTCGATCGCTCCATCGGGGTCTCACCCTGACTCGATCGCTCCATCGGGGTCTCACCCTGACTCGATCGCTCCATCGGGGTCTCACCCTTACTCGGTCGCTCCATCGGGGTCTCACCCTGACTCGATCGCTCCATCGGGGTCTCACCCTGACTCGATCGCTCCGCCGGAATCTCACCTTGACTCGATCGCTCTGCTGCAGCAGCGCGGGTCGGTGGGTGACCGATGTGATCGTCAATAGACGCTCCGTCTTCACGAGCTGATCGTGAACCAGAAACCAATGTTTGTTGCTCCTGCAGCCTGCAGTAAACAGCGCAGTCAATGAGGCGTCAGATAGGGTGAATGATGCATTTCATTGGGCTTGACGTATCTCAGTGAGCAGCTATAACAGCTGTGAACCCTCTGACGGAAGTGGCACTATATTGAATGTCCCTGGCCGTGAAGATAGCTGGAGTGAATTTCTGTAATGCACTCAGCCTGTGGCGGTTGGAAGTAATTATATTGAAGTGGCCGTGTGATTCCGCTGGGGCCGGTCTGAATGAGCGGCGCGGGGGGGGGGGGCGGCTTGGGAGTGTCGAGCGTCTGTAGAGAGTGGCAGTTGGCTGGAGAGTGCCTGAGAATGCTGGGATTGCCGAGCAACTGTAGAAGGTGGCTGGGGTGTGTTAGTCGGCTTTTGAGTGCTGGGAGTGCCGGGCGGTGGAAGAGTATCTGACGGGGCAGAGGAGTGTCGCCGGGTGTCTGTAGAGTTCCGGGTGCGGTGGCGCCGTCTTACCGAGGTCATTGAGTGGCTGGATGAGTCGGTAGCGCTCCGACCTGGCCAGGTACTGCTGGCAGAGACTGGCTGCCGCCTGGCTGGCCACTGCCGATCGCTGCTGCTCCGTTAGTGGTGCGGCGGGGGGCCGGCCGGCCGCGTCACTCGCGTCAGGCGGCCTGTAACGTCAGTGGCGTCATACAACGTCTCGTGGTTCGTAACGTCAGCCTGCTCAAGCGATCCACGCAAGCCTTTTCAAACGGCCTACATCAACCACGACAGACGACCTACGTCGGTTATGATGCTAGAACGCAAGCGGTTAATCGTGAATTTCATTTGTTTTAGACGGCAGCTTTTATTTGTCCTAGATTTCTATTTGCCCTAATTTAACAAATTAAGCAAGACCTATAACCCTGTGGTTTGTGATTACCAAATTACGTTTCCATGACACCAAGTGCGATATGAATCTTGGATAACTATCCGTTGTCAAAGATAAGCTAGCAACTCCTAACCACATTCGTTGTTAGTCTTTGGTTCATACTTTGGCTTTTGGAAGGTGAATCTCAATTTCCTCAGCAGTTCTATCGGCAGGATGAAGAAGCTCGTACATTATTCATTGATAATCCCTTGTAATCCCGACATCGAGCGAGCCTCTACCGTTCTACGTGAGATGCGATGTGCCGCTATCGGCCCGGCACAAAGGCTCGGCTTATTTTTCCATCTACCGTGGCGCGGCAGTGGCGCGCTCACTTTGGACGGTGATTGTCGGGCCTAGCAGTGATAACAGTGTAATTTCTGCACGGCCAGCCGGCCTTATCGGTTCCCTGAGGACCGTGTTCGAGATCAGCCCGCGCTGATTGCCGGCACACAGACAGAGAACGACTGAGGCGCGGCGCTGCCCACACTTAAGTACTTCATTGTGGCAGGGAAGTATGAGACCTTCGTGGCGGGAAAGAGTTGATGAAATTCATAGATGAAAATATAAATTGTTGTACACCAGGGTCCATAATGTCACTAGAAGACAGAGATCATCAAAGGTGAGAGGTATGTGAATTGTGATAGTATAGGGGAGAGTGGGGCACATTCGTGCATGGGGCACATTCGTTTTCAGCAGTTTATGGGAACACGAGTGACTGCACGAGCTCAAGGTAAATTATGGAAATATGTCTATCATTGCCGCCCTTCGTTCACCGTAGAAGACAACACTGTACCTGCTGTCATGCTTGATAAAAACGCAAATTTGTAATATTCGTGAGCTTTCCAAACTTTTCTCATATCATCCATTTTCGTGATCCTGACTCGGAAATGTGGTTCAGCTTTTCAAAATTGGGGGTGAAGAAGCCCACTCTATTCACGGAATTGCTGCAAACTTGTTTGTTGAAAAATTGTCATTTTTTCAAAAAGAAATTTTGAAATATATTACTAATAACGTTGTGGGGCAGGTTCGTGTACGCACTGCCTGGGGGCACATTCGTGCATATTTTTTTTAGTTTTTGCGATTTATGACTTTATCTGTAGTAGGTTTCTCTTATGACGCTCGCTGACTCAGTCTCGACTGCTTGCGACGTCGTGACGAGCAATTCACGCGAACTTGGCGAGGTCACGGAGGCCGGCAGTTGGCACATTCTTGTTGGCCAGCCCATTCTTTCTACATTTGTTGTGCAATGCATTCTTGTCGAAAGGAATCAAGTGAAATGACCCCCTGCCAATTTCCTTTGGTAAATTTCTGGTAATGCCCGGTAATTTCTCGAATTTTGCCGGGTGAACGGAAGTGCCCCATCTCTTGAACGAATGTGCCCCATAGGTGGGGCAGTTTCGTGCAAATGTTCAGAGTTAATAACAGTCGTTTTTTCTAATGGAAACAATAATTTTATAGGATAACTTTTAAAGAGGAAAACTATCTGCAATAGTTCCTTTCCATACTACAATCAACAATTTTGCCATTGCACTAACCAAAGAACAGATATATGGGCTTATCCATTTTTTGCACGAATGTGCCCCACTCTCCCCTATGATGTATAAAGGTTCATTATTAACCCGCGAGTTGCTGGGGGGGGGGCGTTAAACGCCCCCACTTTTTTCGCCGGGCCATAGCATAAAAACGGCGCGCCGCAGGCGCGCCAAATTTTGGGTACCTGTAGGGAATTGATTAACATTTATTGTGACAAAGTTTCAAAAAAATCGGTCGGAAAATTTTTGAGATATCGAGGTTTTAGTGACGTCATGATTTCCGAGTTTTCGACCAAAAACGGCATATGTTCAAAAAATCATATAAAATCACAGAATAGACATACAGACATGCCGTAAACGCCATTAGACTGCCAATACCATGAACAATCAAATGGCTATCTTCGATTATTGATTATCGTTCCGCATTTTCCAAAATCTTGAACTGAATCTTGGCAATTTCTCGTGACTACTTCACGACCATGATACATGAATTTCTTAAATTGAACTTTTTTAGCCAAACACGTACACATATGATAAAATGAATGCCACCATCGTGTTCTACGCCCCAAATTACCCATTAAACATGTGTCACAGGCTGCGAATATCAGTTTTGATTTTCGGGGATATGTGCCTGCCCGGTTGACCTGACCTTGACCCTGACCTATGCTTGACTGACCCCTACATGGAGCTGACACTCTTGTAGGCCTTATATGATGGATTGTGCACCGTTTTGACAGAGTTTATGACGAGAGGCGCCCATTGCGAAGTCCTGAAGTCCATGCTACTAAAAGCCCGATTTCAGGTGTTTGACCTGACCTTGACCCGACCTGTGACCTCAAAATTCAACTTTAAAGTACTCATCTGAAGCGTCTCGTCGCGTTCTTTCGTTTGCCGCCTCGTGCGTTTCGCTGCGCCTATTGGTTCTCGAGTTATCGGCTGGGGGCGTTTAACGCCCCCCCCCCCCAGCAAACGGTGGGTGGCGAAATACCCCAGCAACTGCCGGGTTAAAGCATTTTAGGGTCAGCCACCTACTTCAGAAAGGATATGGAAATAGGAATGCCCCGCTTCGCTGTTAGCTATCACTCGCAAATTGCAACTCTTACATTTTATTTGCCAGTCTTTTTTGAAACGTGACTTGAATCGTTGTTTACGTAGATTCACGGTCACCGTAGATACGCCTTGGATGCAGTTGACCCCCTATCTCCAATCCCCACCTAATCACTGCGTTCCTTGGACAAGATGCGGACCAACCTCTCACCGTAATGCTCCGCCGCCTGCGGCGATATGACCCCAGCTGGGTATCCGCGGCAGCGGAGAGCCCGGAGAGCTGGGCAGGCTCGGCTGCAGCTCCGCCAGCTCCTCGAGCGTCGGCAGCGGTGGCGGACGGATCTTCCGCGGCCACTTGTCGTAGTTGATTCGCGGGTCGCGCCGGTTGAAGTGGTCGTGGCCGAGGAGCTCTTTGGCGGCCTCCTCTCGACCATTCTGTTTGTACAGGTTGAACAGCGTGATCTGCCATTTGGTGCGCGCACTTGTGGTGCTCTCGTCTTCGTCTGGTGACTGGGACATGCTGGATGAGTCTGTGACTTCTCACACTGATAACAGTAGTCACTTACAGTATTCAAGTCGCCGCTAGTGTTCTTCAGACGATCTTCCGTCCAGTCACTGGATAGTTGGGACAGGTGAATGATGGAAAGTTAGACGAACTGACGGAAAACACCAATTTCAGGACGCATGTTCTGCTGTGGAACAGCTGAAGAAGACGCGAATGCTGGCCCGCTCGGTTTTGATCCTGAAAAAGCCTTTACTTCTGCCGCACTTCCGCCTTTGGTATCGCTACCTCCACTTCTGGTCACTATTTGTCGTCGCCTCACTCTCTCACCATCACTGATTTGTCTGTCACTATAATTCCACTCACACCTGACGGTAAGACCCCTCCGCGTACCACCTAGGACCGGTACTGGTGCCTGACAGCCGTACTCGCCTGCCGATCGCATCCCACGCAGATTCTGGTAATGTCATCGACGGAAAAACGGGCCAGGAAGCCCCGACGCGACCGGTAGTGTTCCTGTAGGGCTTCGGCGGCCGAAGGGGCCGTGTGCCACTTCGCTGAACGGACGTTGCCGAAGCCGGCAAACCGAGTCGCTCAGAACGGCACCGGGGCCGCCCACAACAGACGGGGTTTTTGCGTGTGCAATATTTGAGAATTGTTGAGTTCGCTTCGCTCTGACATCGGGACGTTAAGCAACAGACGTTTTGGCCGGTGCAAGATTTTCGAATTGTAGAGTCTGTTCTGGATCTTGTTCTCAGAGAAAAATACTTGGGAAATACATATACCGTAAAGTGGGGCTATTTGAGACAGTGGGGCTATTTGAGACAGTAAGGTAATGGTATAGTAAAATCGCTGTAAAATGAAAACCGTTTGATGTTTTTTCGTCATTTTTGCTTAGGCTAATGTGGAATTGAACAGTGAATGCTCAGAATAACCTTTTTGAAAATTTCGAAAAGTTCTGAAAGAAATTTGCAATAAAATACGAAATACAGAAAAACGCACAATTTAAGTTGCTCGAAAAGTACCCCTACCTGCAGCTTAAAAAAGTGGAAGTTTTAACAGCTTCGCCACTGTATCTATCGTTATTATCTTTTTGCTTATAGGCTAAGCACATTTTTCATGAAAATATTATATATTGCTACCGGTACTGCCGATTGCGCAACCCATTGTCTCAGAATCCCGATTATGCCCACCTGGTCAAACCTCAACGCCATGCCAAATAGCTGATGATAACGGTGATGCGATGCACCCGAGAAGATTTACCGCCATCTATCTGAAGTGCATCGAACGTTCGACATAAGCAACACCGGTGAATCGGTCGTGGTCATAAACGTGCAGTGGGTTCATGGTAGGTACTTTTAGCAGCAAGCAATATTTACATGTTCGTAGTGTAACATAATAACCCTTTAGCTGGTGACCAAACTAGTTATTCTGATGAATATGTGCTTAAAATGTGCTTAATCAGTCACTGACTCATTCGACAATCAACATATGTCTACCTTGGTTGACCAAAAAACACCATTGAATGTTACTTAACATATGAACGTACTGTTAAGTGAGCCTATCCAAGTACTTGTTGTGGTAGGGTAACCGGCCAATTGATACAGCATGCAGCGATCGAGGAAAATCGGCATAAAATCAAAACCGTTTAACATTTTTCGGTTATTTTTTTCGCATGGAGATGTACAAAGGAACAGACAATCATGCAGACCATTCACTCAAATGTTTTGGGAAACCCTTTGCCTTGTTTGATTCATTACAGTGTGCTTCATAAGGTAGCGAGACTGTCTCAAATAGCCCCACCGACTTTCGGTATATCTGTTTTCACGTCACCGGGGCTATATACAAAAACTTACTTTCAAAATTTTACTGTCGATGACTTCAAAATAGTCCTTGATGATCATCCTGTCAGTTTGAAAGCTATGGGTCACATCATATTATGATAGCCTTAGCATATAGTGATGCAATTTTATGCCCTACCGAAATGAAGTGTCCTACAAAAAAAGGAAAAGATTGAATATAAAGGTCATATAACAGTCTTTGAAAAAAACAATTTTTGCCGAAATGATCAAAATTCAATTTCCAAATGCATGGCGTTTAGAAAATTATCTCTAGCGTGACCGATTTTCTTTAATTTATTTGCAACTAAAACTGTCTCAAATAGCCCCACCCTATGGGGCTATTTGAGACAGGCTTTAACATAAAAAATAACCTTAATCATTATTACTAGCTGAACCAAAATGCACCTATATGAAAAAGCTCACAGAGAACTACATTTTTGCAATTTACATGCCATAAGAAATATGAACCGTCTTAAAGGGAGAGGCCAAAAACTGTAAAATCCGTTTCAAATAGCCCCAACAGACAGAAATAGCCCCAATAGCCCCAACAACAGAAAAGTTGTGTGCCGCAGCTTCAAAATGATGAAGCCGTCCTGTGACGTCATCACCCCGGAGCGATAATAATGTTGGATGGCCGCGAAGTTACCGAGGTGAATTTTACAATTCCGAGTCCCCGTCACACTGAGCGGAGGGGCTGGTAGCGGATGGAGACGGTGTCAGATGTAGATATGACCTCTGAGCTCTCTGCCGGCTCGCCGACGGGCAGAAACGGCGCGCCACGCGCGAAGAATGGATCGTATACGGTCCCCGGATTGGAGAGCCGGCTCGTCAGTTTGAAGGGCTCGCTGCGACATCGCCGCGGGCGTGGAACGCACCCGGGTCCCGGCGCAGCTGCGGCACGCCCCAGCTCTGCCCGAGATGATACCCCCGGGAGCGGCTGCGTGGCCGAGCCGCGTGGGTCGTCTGATCCGACCAAACGGCACAAGTTTGACACACTGCTGACAGTGCAGTGGCAGGTGGCTGAATCAGCATCGGAAGCGAGCGAAAATAGTATAGTTGAGGTGGCTTTGCCGATATATAACATTTTTGAGTGTGCGAATCCAACTGTATCAGTTGAGCTGTCATGGAGCTCGATAATTTGATGTAATTATTTTTAGATGCGTTGTGTCATGGCCAATCATTAGTCAGACTTTGGAGCTAAGCAAGTCGACCCGATATGTTTTCGTTGCTGAACTCATCTAAGTTATATTCTTTTAGCACATAAGCCATTGGTAATCGTAGCATGTATTTGTGGATGGAAATGTGGAATTACGAATACTAATATCGCGTGTACCCTCGACATCCACCAGCATACATTTGCATATGTGCATCGTAACTCCCGCGCTGGAATTTAATTTACCTCAATTCAACCATTAGCGCTCAGACCCACAATGCCAATTATGCATATTGTTTCTGAAAAGCTTAGGTATTTCAGCTTCATGCAACAAAATAAGTCTCCATTATGCTTATTGTGCCTGAATTGAATGCCGCCTTGCTTGGAGTGGGTACTCTGGTCGAATGGTCTACGGAGCTAGTTTATTCAATCAAAACCGGTAACTACACGATCCTGAACTAAGGTCTGACAACAGAACGATGGCTGCAATTTTATTCTCCGTTGTTGTCAACAGCTATAGATGCAGTAGGTACCTATGATTTAACAATGAAAGGAAATGAATATGAAACGATGAATAGCGGTATTGACGTAGGCCATTTTTTATGGTTCTAACTCTGTTTTATCCGTTGTCCATTGTCTTCCTGCTTTCAAAATCGCAAGCTTTCATAGGTGGCGGAACGGGGGGGGGGGGCACCGTGCCCACCTTTGATTTTGCTATTTTAACATTAGCCCTATGGGCGTTGCATGGAAAGAATGGGACCAAAAGTCGGCAGTGCCCCCCCCCCACCCCCACCCCCACCCATCCCTTAATTGAAGGTATTCCGCCGCGTTCTTTATGGCAGCATCAAGTGAAGTCACGGCTAGGCCGATATCCACCTCAACACAGCAGCTCCCTTCGTCCATATATTCCAGTTTAACGCTAAACATTTCATTATCATTTATCAAGCATTCCAAAGCATCCATTACTTAGCCGTGATATGCCGATGGCTCTTCCATTTAAATACAACGATCTAATGAAGAACGAAGTCTGCATTGATATCTAAAGCGATGAGTCACTTCTGGCCCGGAAATTTAATTCCATTACCGCGAGTCCGTCTTTGTCGACCGTCTTATGGATTTCGTCATATTCACACACGGCGTGATCCGATAAGGTGAAGGTCGGCGGGGAATCTATAGATTACAGTGCCGGTCGGGGCCCGAAGCCCGCCGCTGGGCCGCCGGGAACGGCAGAGGACGGCAGTCTCGGCAGCACGTGCTTCCGTTGGCGGCCGGCCAGCCCGGTAAGCCGGCCGGCCGGTCGGTCGGTCAGACCGAGAGACAGCGGTCGGACGATCGGTCAGCGGCCTACGCGTGTGACTGACGCATCCTCAGACTGGAGATGGACGCTAGTCGGATGGCCCCGATCACCGCGGCTGGCAGAGATATAGACCCGATCGAGTGCCCCGTCAGACCCACCCGGGGCCCTCGCTACGGGAGGCTGCCAGAGTTTTTAGATGTTTTTTTCTTCGGTGTGGTCTGGGCTGGATGTAAGAGAGCGTAATGAACCGTGTGGTGGACACCATTATGGTAATGAAGTACTTAGCAATCCGTAATTATCATAGTAAATGGACGCAGCTCGATTATCGATATCTACGCATCTGAAGTCCATATACGTAGCTTTGGTTCTCCAAAAAAAGTTCAATGTTGTGTGGATTTCTCTATTCACAAGCGCATCCATGAGTTCCGGGTTTACCTCGCCGGTTTATCCGGACGATTGCATCACCCCTGCAGTCTGGCCGTTGCTGGTCTGGGGAGGTCGTGGGGTCGGGCTCGGTGCGGTGCGGGTCTGCTCTCACCATGTGGTGACCAGCGGGCTGCTGCGGGGTCGTATCTGCGTCGGCCCGTCGCCGGTCAGGGAGAGACCGTCGATCTCGTTGGGCAGGGCGCTGGGCCGCCGGCCGCAGCGTGTCAGCTTCCGAGGTGTGCTCGCCTGGGGCTCCGGACTGCGGAACAGATCCCGGGCAGTGGTCCTGCGCAGACAGACACACAAACGGCAGGCTGTGATAAACTGGGAACAGGTTATCACAAAGTTTATATGACAGCCTGCGGGAGCGGCTTGCTATGCACGATGATATGCCGGTCAAGTGGCGTGCGTCTCTTATTCTGTGGTAAACACTTAACATGTCGGCAAGAGAAAATGTTCCTATCGAGTTACATTCAGCGCGTCTTTGATTGCGAGAAGACTTTAACAGCTGCTCATAAGTTTTCTGGCTTATTGCAATTTCTTGGCAGCTGTTGGATAGGTACGCGTCAAATTCATTTCTCCTGATGTTACTGACAGCTGATTTCATTACTCGTGGGCATTGATGCCATGTGACGGTAGGCTATTGACGCTTTTGACTTATTGAAATCGATAATCTCGGGAACTGAATACCTAGACAATGTAACAAGAATAGCTTTGCGATGGGAACTTAAATCGATGCAATATAGGCGCTTATTTAGGTTGCCCTATAGTACACACTTGAACAGTCTTCTCAATAATGCTTTGTCCATGCCCGCACTAATGATCCTCATTTCATAATGTGGTGTATTCAGCTGAATATTCAGTATACAACGAGTTACTGAGACCACTACTGAAGGCAAAGCCTTTGATGATAATTCCCGAAGTCAAACGAACCGAATAATCCTCGGGGACGATCGCGCAGCATGCTGTCATAACATGCTGCTATAATTGGATAAAATGATTGCAATGCTTTCGAATTTTAGTGCGGTATAGGAAGAACATATGTAGGTACATGTAGTCACCCAAGCGATTAGGTGCTGAACGGTGACAGTTTCGGTATAATAAAGGGGAACTCGTGACAAAGACAGCTCTCTGAGGCCATGGGTCATCGTGTGTGGGGACATCTGATGTCATTATAGTTTAGTGACGATCGGTGCACCGTGACATCGCCGCTGACCGTGGCACGGACAAAGCTGACTAGACACTGACACTGACACTGACACTGACAGGCGACAGACGCTGACCAGGTGACACAGCCAAACGCTCACCCCGCGATGACCCACCTGTTGGGGTCGCGTACTCCGTGGCGCCGCTGCTCCAGCTGCTGCTGCTCGCGGAGGGCGCGGTCCCGTGCCGCCCGACTCGAGTACAGGTCGTGACCGGTCAGCTGGGCCTCCTGTCGCTGCCGGGACTCCTTTACCGCTCGGTAGATGTTGAACATGTCTGCCGAATGATGGAGGGAGACATCTCGTCAGAGGGTCCCTCCCGGTAGATGTTGAACATGTCTGCCAATCGCGCTGGGAGGCGTCAGGCGGTCGGATGGATTGTGAAATGTGTAGGAGTAGCGTAGCTGCTGTTATAAGGATATTGACATTTAATTGAAGTGTTTTAAGCCCTCTCTTTAGAAACCCAGCTTACAAACACAGGGGATTACGTGTCCAGTGTTAAACTGGACCACTGGCCTTCATTGATCAGCCCCAAGTTTGGTCGTTTGAACTGAGGTTGTGTCGAGTTGTGCCGACATAACCGCGAGTATTTCTAGCCGTCATGTGTTATCGGCTGCTTTCGAGCGAGCGCTTGGTCAACACCTTTTATCTAAACTTTGTTTTTAAGCGTTACTTTTTATCCTGTGTTTTTATGAAATGGTTCACTGTGCCTGGGATACACGTTGCGTTGGAGTATAATGACTAAGAAGGCTAAAAACTTCTTTTATCGCTGACGTTTATACTCTTTCGATTTCGTAATAGGTTAACGGTTCATTTATTTTATGAATGCGAACTTTTAGAACTTATTATGGAAGGTTGAAATAACACCTTACCTAAACCGTATAAATGAACATTTTTACAAGCGTAACATAATCGCTCGGATCTAATGAATTATTAAATTACGAGAGGAACGTTTAAGTGCTGACGGTGCCTATATGCATTCTGGTAACAGCCAACAGGTAATGTTGCTAAATAGTCGTCGACATCACTTTAAACTCAATAAAAAACTTGTAACAACTCAATGCAATATGTTTTGACATTTACGTTCAAATGTGCAATTTTGTCTCAGTCGATGCACCTACAAAGAGGACAGGATCAAATGTAGATGCCTATATAGTGGAAGGTGTCCAATACCTAAGTATAGTCATGATGTTTTAAGTGGACAGCGCTCTCCATTCGTAACCTCTGAAGCGCCTTTCCAAAATCATCGTCCATAAATCATCACCCATTCTAATCTCACCTTTGGGCTACGTCCGTCTGGAGCTGATGATAATCCTCCTCAATATATGGCCCACTCCTCCGCCGCCGCAGCCCCCTGCACCGCCGACCGTCGGCCCACTAACGTCTCCCTCCCGGGCCGCAGGGCCCTGTTGCAGCCCGCGTCGGTCTCGACGGACTCCGGCGCCGTCGACGCGTCGGTCGTCGACAGCGATGAGCGCCGCCTGTCGACGCTGCAGGATGATCGCGCCGCGCGCCGCCGGGCCCAGCTGCTCCCGCGGCGCAGAGAGTGAGACACGAGGGTGCTTGTGGGGCGGGCGAGGTGTGGGACATGGCCTGGGTCAGAGAGCAAGGGCAAGGGAGGTCGCGGCAGGGGGTAGCATCGTTCAGCATCGTTCCTAGCGTCCATTTGGACTGCTGTTTTTATCTGCGGATTCAAATTATAGTAAATTCAATTATTCATGGCAGAACAAATATGGCACAATTTCATAGCTTGTCTGAGTCTGGCGACGTGAATGGTAGTTCATATAAGTTATTTTAATCAGTTTTCTCACATCTCGCGAGAAGGCTACCCAAAGTGCTCGCTTGGAAAATAAGATTCTCATTTGATTAGTCTATTATCGATAACGCTCCACCCGGGCGAAGAGGGTCTGTCATCGCCAAAATCTGGCCGTAATGACCGACGTTCAGAGCTCAGAGAGAACTGTTTTGGCAGCAGGGACTACGTTTGATTGGAATCTTAGCGAGAAGTTTGGAGTAATTTTAAATAAGAGTTGAACTATAAGAAAAGAGAACTTAAACTGATCAGCAAAGGTCAAATGAGGTGCTGGAAATTGTGTGCGCGTTCCGGAAAAGGAAAGTGATTGCTACAGTCCGCGACCAGGATGTCTCTAAGTAAGAAAGATATTCAAACGGCACTAAAAATACGGTTAGAGACTCTACCGTCTAACAGCATATCTGTAAGACGCGCTAAGCGCACCCTGTAACCCGAAGCCCGGTGATCGTCTGTGGGTGCCGGTCGATCATCAGCTCAGGGGCGCATCCATTCGCTCTTGGCGTCCGTCGGCGCGGTCTATCGGCCATGACTCGCACAATCGCACCGCTCGTTACAGCCATTTCCCGTGGCCACTGCGGAAATGAGGGCAGCGCCGGCCTCATTAGCCTCCCATCTGACCCTCCCTTGGTTGGGATTAAAGCCCCGGCGGAGAGGAGTTTGATAGTCGGCCCGTCGGGCCGCCACGGCCAGCTCGTCTGGAGCCCACATTTAGTGATACTCGGGCAGCTCAGCGCGCCCCGTATCGTGGGCTATCTCCGGGCGGCAATGTGACGCCGCATTGGCCGACGGGTACAGATCGTGCTACAACGCCCCCAACATACCAACAGCTGCTGAGTCTCGGAAGTCCGAATTGGTGGTGTGGGTCTCATCGGTGCAAATGGCTTATTGTAATAGCTTCGTTCGTGGTTGTTTTGTGTCCGATGGCTATATATATACAGGCCCGCCGTACGGTGGAGCGTCGCGGCACCAGTGACGTACCCAAGGGGGGGGGGCCACGGGGGCCAAGGCCCCCCCCCCTGAGCGCCGAAGGCGCTCAGGGGGCCCCTCAGGCCCCAGGACATTTTTTTTAAACACTGGATAAAACGTCTTTTACTCGGGAGAAAAATTGATATTGAAGTTTCATTTATGTGCCCTGGGTACCCGAGGGGCCCCTGCAGTCATCCAAGGGCCCCCATTTTCCTGGGCCCCTGGTCGCCTAGGGGGCCTCTGGTAGCCGGGGGCCTGGTCTCATGGGCGCCCCTGATAGCCTGTGGCCCCTAGTCGCCTAGGGGGCCCTGGTCGCATGAGTGGCTTCTGGTCGCATGAGGCCCCTGATCGACTGGGGGCCCCTAGTTGCCTAGGGGGCCCTGATAGCCCGGGGCCTGGTCGTATGGGCCCCTGATAGTCTGTGGCCCCTAGTCGCCTAGGGGGCCCTAGTCGCATGGGGGGGCCTCTGGTTGCATGATATTGAGGCCCCTGATCGCCTGGGGGTACCTACTCGCCCAGGGGGCCCCTGGTAGCCGGGGGGCCTGGTCGCATGGGGGCCCCTGGTTGCCTGGGGCCCCCGGTCGCCCCTAGTCGCCTGGTTGACCCTGGTCGCCTTGGGCCCCTGGTAGCATGGGATCCCCTGGTCGCCTGGGGGCCTCTGATCGCCTGAGGGCCGCTGGTCACCTAGAGGGCCCCTGTGGCCATTCTTATAAAGAAAAGAACGGAGGGACGCTCCGTCATTTCTGAGATTAGACGGAATTTGGTTATCATAAAAGGACGAAGACGAAAGACGGAACCCGTTAAATGAACGAAGCCAGATTGACGCTACCCCCACCCAAAAGGACGCGTTTCCGTATCATAAAGAGACAAAGACGCCTCTGGTGACGTAAGACTTTGCGTTGTTCGTGAAAAATAACGCATCAGAAATAGCGCTGCTCTTCAGCAGCGCTTTTTTACGGCATTGATACGATATTTAGCTAGTTGCGAGAGCAACTTGTGCGAAATGTGTTTCAGGATGCGTGCTAATCGATATGTGAACTGTATGACATTGGTCGGGAGTTATTTCACACGAAAATTAGTCAATTTCACATGCAGACCAAGTGCCTATAGACCGCCACCTTATCGTTCTGCAGCTATCGTTGTTTATCGGGCATACACATTAACAGGCAGGATTGGACACCTTGAGATGCAATATCCAGTAAGTGGTAGGTGTTTACTGTTTGCAACTGCCTCCCAGTAGCTCCACCCTCACCTGGCCTGTGTCCTGTGTCCTCTGGCGCCTCGACTGGTATCACGGTTGGAGGTCTGAGTCACGTGGCACTACAACTTCTCGTTAGCACTTAAAGTTCTTGTTTGCACGCAGAGAAATTCGTATACACTCCACCACGCTCAAGCGCTCTCGCTGGACTGTCCTCGCTGTCCCCACACAGAGAAGATCCACAGGCCATTTCTTCCCCCGCTCCCCCTCCCCCCCTCTTTAGCGTCAGTTCGTCAAAACAACACCTGCGCCCCCCGTCTCTCTATCTCTCTACCTACTCCTTCCCTCTCTCCCTCCCTTTCATCCCGAGCCGCCGCGCGCGTTCGCCGCGCGCCGCGTCGTCCCCTTGAGCGAAAGATGCCTTATCAGTATCCCCTCCTCTTTTATCTCTACCGCTTGTCCCGAGCCGCCACGCTAACTCAGGGTGTCTGCGTTGTTCCCTTACCGCTTATTAGACATCCTATCACTGAGTAAGACATAGGCATTACCACATTTATACGCAAAAACAATCTTTGGTGGGTTTCAGCCTAGCAGGAAAGACTACAACATATTACATACTTCGCCTATCTATATTATCCTTGATCGTAGCCAAGGCCTCTGGCCAAGGCTATGTATCGTAGCAGACAACAGTCCCCGGTCCCATAAAAATTCAAATGTGATCCCAAATAATTGCAGGTTCTCATTTTATAATACCCATATAGCGATCACACAGTATTTATTTTCTTAGTCTTTTTGCATTCTTTGTGACGAAATTTATAAGAAAATATTGCAGGAAATAATTCCTGTTTCATTTACTAAAGCTCTTGATCATTTAGACGAAAAACGCATCCTAGCAAAACAACGAAGGGGGAGGGGTAGAGGGACGGAACCTTTATGATAACCAAAAAGGACGGAATCGTTTAATTCATTGAGTTCTTTTTTTCCTTCCGTCCCTCCGTCCTTTTTCTTTATAAGAATGGCCTCTGGTCGCCTGGGGGCCCCTGGTAGCCGGGGGCCTGGTCGCATGGGGCCCCCTGGTCGCATGGGGCCCCCTGGTCGCCTGGGGGCCCCTGATCGCTTTGAGGACCTGATCGCATTGGCCCTTGGTCGCCTGGAGGGCCCTGGTCGCCTGGGGCAGTGGGGCCCCTAGTCATCTGGAGGACCTGGTCGCCTGGGAACCCCTGGTCGACTGGGGGCCCCTGGTCGTCTGAAAGTACGCTTATCACCTGATTGATCCCAAATCATCTGAGTGGCTACTGGCTACTGGATATAAGTAGTGACTGGAGTAGGCACTCATCTGAAGGAGCCAATATCTTTCACGGTGCCGGAGATATCACAGAAAAAACAAAAAGGCTAAACTAAATACCCCCAACCTTGGCCCCAAATGCGTCATTGGCTAACACAGGGATGTGGGTCGATTTGCAATCGCATTTCCTCCTAAGTCCTATTCCTCCAATTAATACAGAGTGTCCCAGAATTACCCAAACATTTATTTTCTGGCTAAAAGTACAATTGCGCTCGATTCCTAGTGAAACATATAATAGCCGCGTTTACATAGGGCTAGTTGCCAGATAGTGGAATTCCGATAACGAGACATTTATTCCCCACTATTATATTATATACCTACATATCCGGAATTGGAGGATGTTCAGTAATTGAGGCGCTCGCTCATAAAATGCCGTGCGTTTCATGCACACTCCCCAAGCAAAAATATTTTTACTTTCCAATTTTCCACATTTTCTCAAGGCTTAGACCGTTACAGAGACCGTTTTAATTGACTTTGATGAAGTTGAACGCGAGAAATCACAACCAAATGCTACATTAGGTTGTAAAGAACTGAATTGCGTTTTCCCACACACGTGGCGTTTTCTCACCTACGTCTGCAGGAGAGACCGGACCCACTATGCCCCCCCCCCCCCCCCCCACCATCGAAAGGTTCTTCATGACTCCCGGGGGCCCCCGGGGAACCTGGGGGGGGGCCCTATACACTGTGGGGGGCCCCTTCGAAAGCAGGTGGCCCCCTCCTGGGCGAAATCCTGGGTACGTGCCTGCGCGGCACAGCATACCAACGCAGTGAATATGCTGAAATAATGCGCCACCGGCCGCATTAGGCAGTAGCATTTCTTACGGCGTTCGCACTCCGCGTCCGCGCTCATAAGTTGGATGCAACTTCATTCCCGTAACCCCTCACGATGGAGATTTCCAGGAAGCTGGCGAGTCGACCGACTGTAGCACTAATTTTCCGCTTTTCTTAACTACTTACGTAAACTTTAGGCCGTACAAACTTTTAGCTGTTTCCTTTAGAAATATTTCTGTGCGCATCAAACAGCCATGATCTATCTGGTGTACCTACCTAATAACTAATAATAATTTTTTCCATAAAACGTTATTTTATGTAGACAGAGACACGCATTGCCGTTTCCTCGAATGCGTATACTGATCTACTCGTATAGCCATAGTAACCACCATGCAATGAGTCGTGCCTCAGACAGACCCTCCATGGAGCGAGG